TTCGACATCAGAATTGATAACTTTTTGTGTACAAATGTACTTATTGTGTTATCTGTTATATACAGATTGTTATACTTATGTTGATTAAACGTTGGATGGTATCATCATGGGCTTAGATAGCATCCCGTTGGTTTAATTGTTTTAAACTCATCTTATTTGTGTAAACAATAATTTCATAGAAGGTAAAGCAAAAACAAATAATACCCATGACCATGTGCATGAATGACAGTTAAGTTTAGTGAGATAGTCAACTTAATTGAGCGTCATCAGGGCTAGAATCTAATTAGTTTAAAAAAATACTAGTCAGTCTGGCTAGTAGCTTCCAATTTTACTAGCTAGTCCATGTGTAAATTCTGTTAACCCAATATTATTTAACATAATAAGTAATAATTACTAGTCCAGCTGGAGATTTCACTAGTCTGACTCTCAGACTTATCAGGCTATACACATGTAGTACCCTTACTTTCTAGCCCTGGGGATCGTGTGATGATGAGGTGACCATGATCACAGGGGTGTACAGTTCCACTTGCCATACACTGTGGTCTAACCGTATATTTTATGAAGATAGTGAACATTTCAAATATTTTTTATTTTTAAATTTTATGAAAAAAATATCCAAAAGTTTAAGGAAGGGCTTTAAAAAAGAATATTTAAAAGTGTGCATGCGGCTGGCCTCAGAAAGACAAAAAATTATCTTAAGACTGCATGCATACAGTATTAAGGAATGGATGTATTAGTCTATATATATAAGTATTATAATATGCAGGTATTTTGCAATCTGTTTTCGTAAGGAGCCCCTGAGCAAAATTGGGAAATTATCATCAGCATTTGGCACAAAAAGAGAAAATGTTATCAGAGTGTCAAAACTCAAAAGTTTTGGGAAATGTCATATTTTTTTTATTTTTTTTAAACCTGCAATGTAATTAGCAAACAGATAGAAACTGATATCAACATGCTATTTATTCCAATTTCAGTTGTAACCTGTTTATTTCGGGTGTAGCAATACCATGTCAGCTAGTATGGCTATTATGAGGATTGCCAGTGTATAGCAGCTGTCTGAAACAAAATGAAGGACTCGGTTACCTTGCTGGTGTTTTCCACTGTTCTCCTTGTCCTGAGTTTAAACATACACCCCTCAAATGGTAGGTAAAATCTTCAACTTCTGTAGAACCCCCCCCCAGAATAATGTTGCTATAATGCCAAACATTTTTGAATGCATCAAGAGATACATACATTAAACATACAGGTTTTGTTGTAAAAAAAACCCACAAAATTTTGTAAAGACAAAGACAGTCACAAAGTGAATAATATTTTATGATAAAACCCTCATGATTCTATAATAACAATAAACAGTATACCGTATACATGTAGGCTATTGCTGTATGTACAGTACATTATCCATCTCTTCTGATTTTTTATCAGCGGTTTGTCAAATCCAATGTGGTTGGAAGGCTGAGTGCAAAAACCTCACATGTGAATGTCCTGCAGGCTATGAGCTTCATCCTAACCAGCAAGACTGCAAGACAGGTATAGTTTTAGTCAAGTTATGGATGCAAAGTATATTGGTAACATCTTGGTCAAGAGCTTTTTCCACTTGCAGCAAGTTGTTGAAATATTTTTATGAAATTTACAAAGTAAAGGAAAATAAATCGGTACATATTTAATTGAAAATAAGTTTGATTCACATTGATATTTTAATTTTTCATGTTTGAAAGTAAAAGACAGAGGGAAGTTCAAGTAACTTAACTTTTTTTATTGTACACGTTTTTACTGATAAGTCAGTAATTGGGAATAATATGAAGTAATAATCTCCAAATGTTGAATAAAGCTTCGTGAATTAAAAAGAAGTAATTTGTATTTTGATTTCAGCTGTGTGCATTGGAAGGGACTGTTTAGAATGTGATTCAGAAAACAAATGCCAAAGGTAATTTACCCTGAATCAATTTTTTATTGTTTTGTTTCTTTTCCGAATTTAAAAGTTCTATGACTGTGAGTGATTCATAGTAAATGTGTTGTGAATTTTAATATAAAATGGATTGTTGGTAATATAAGAAATGAAAATAGATAAATATGTTCATTAATATTGTATCAGTACTAGCATTTCTTTCTTTTCAATAGCAGTCATTCACATAGAATATAATACAGAGGTATCTCATACATCTTTTCTATTTTGTAGATGTACAAATTTTCTCTCTGAGCAAAGTCGTGAGTGTTTGCCGAAGTGTAATGGTGAGGCTAAGATAATACAGAGTGGAGACCTTCAGGGAAGTGTTTGTACAGGTAGGTCTGTGTCTGTTATCAAGGACCTTTCAGATCCAATGATGTGATACATGTTTTATGTATATATTTATACACATAGACATACGTTTATAACAAAAGTCTCTAACCCATGTGTATAGGTTTCTACACTGTAATCTATAGATGAAATCAATTGTACTGTAGTATATATATTTACTTCTTGAAAATTTCATAATTTATATTCTATATTTATAATTCATATTTCGTAGTTATTTTGAAATATGTAAAAGAAATATTGTTAACCAACAGTAACTATGTTTACTGTGTCATTTCTTTGTGTTTTTAGAGATCAATTCTAGGTGATAAAATCAAAGAAAGAATAATAGCTACGTACAGATAATTGTTCATGAAAAGTCTTGAGATATACATTATTTACGGTACCTACACACATATAGTACCTTGATCTGTACACATGTAGTATATGATTCATTCATGGTTAGTGGTGTGTGACCTGCTGTACCCCGAGGTTATTAGGTACAACGTATTTGTCAATGTCATATACACCCCAGACAGTGGTTATACTACCCCAGGTACCTGTGGCTCACTGTCAGATGTATAGCCTCGGGTACTTACCTAGTACTGTGTAATCGCCTTCCTCTTTCACTTGTTTGTGTCAGTTAGTACATACATATATGTTTACAGGTGTGATGTGTTGGTACACTATAAAGTCAACAATCATTATTATTGTGCAATACAAATATCAGGAAGTCTTACATAGATAAATCATGTTTAAATAAATGATACATAAATAAAGACCTTAAGTATACATGTGTTGTTTTTGAAAAATATCATCTGTTTAAAAAAAGATCTGTTTGGAAAAAAAAGAAAATATCTATAAAAATGGAAAAAAGAGCCATTTTTTTTAAAATGAGGGCACGCATATATTGAATTATAGCTGCAGAAAAAAGGGGAAATTTTATATGAAATATTTAGTAATCATGGCGGTTCGATTAAGGAGGATGAAGCAACCATTACCACACTGAATCCACCAATACTTTTATCTAGATGAACCTAATGTTGATATCAAATTACTAAATTAAGGATAAAAAAGTCATGATAATGATTTATTGGTTGTTCTATTTTAGAGCTCAAGAGTGATGACAGTAACCTGGACATCATTATAGGTATAGCGGCCGGTGTGTCAGCCGCCATTATCATCTGTCTTATCATGGGCATCATAGTCTACTGCCACCTGAGGAAAAACAGGTAGAGTTATAACCAGTAACAAACTTTACATTAATATGCCATTATGCATAAATCCTGTGTTGATTTTATCCCTTTTCAAGGTTTGGTGATAATCAAAAAGACGTTATTATGATATCATATACAAATAAAACAGGTTTGAATTGTTTAAGGTCTCGAGTATTGGTCCTTCAATTTGATATGGCACGGAGATGGCATTTGAAATATGCTGCTGGCATAATAGTTTCAAAAATCTTAAGCCTTTTAAAAGATTTCAAAGTTCCGTTCATCCGTTCCGTGTATCAGTTGGCATAAATAAATTATAATTGCCCCATCAATCTTTGAAAAGGAGTTTAATGGGTAGGTTCCTGTTGTTTTATCTTTGAATATGTATATAAATATAAATGACATGTGTTCTAATGTAAATATGTATGGTTTCCCAATTTCAGACAAAAAATTAATCTACAGCAGCAAAAAAACAAGGCTGAAAATATGCAACTTGGAAAATTGACAGCTGTAAGTGTTTAATTTACTGTGTAGATAATAATGATTGGCTTAGCTGTTCGTGGATTGTGAAAGTATAGATATATGTAAAACATACTTGCCAACCCTCCCTATTTTTGAGGGAGACTCCCAATTTTTTACCTTTAAATTTAGCATTTTCAACCAGTGAATAAGCTAAACTATTCCTTAATTCTAAGATCTAATAATAATCTGAAAGAACAAGTCAAAATATGTCCTTTTAAAGGGTAATTTTGCCTCTAGGGGGTGTATACACACATTTCATTTATGCTATAATTTTGAGCATGCAGAATCTCCCTCATGGAAATTTCAAAAACTTGGCAGGTATGGTGAAACAATGATTGTACATATTAATGATATATCATTATTTCCTGATATACTTGGTAGTAATGGTAGATGTGATACATAGAAGTCATATCCATTTAGATTTATAGGATTGATTTACCGGTATATTGAAAATAAACTCATACAATGTAAAGAGCTATCAGTTTTCATGTGTTAAATAAATTCCCATCCTCTATATCCACAGGTTACGCTCACTTTCGCTCTCTGCTCCCCTGGAATATGTCATAGCATAATTGAAGGCCAAAGATTGCTGTTTGATTGGTCTCGGGTAAAAAAACAACTGACCAATCGCTAGGCTGATACCTGTCCTTTCTTTGAAGATTACAAAGGGGAGATGCCCGACTCCAAAGCCTGTCAATTTTGACCATAACGTGACTGTGAGATCCTTTTGATGGATATCAAAGGATCAAATTAGTCTTTTTGTCTCATCAACAAGGTGGCGCACACTGAGTCTTCAATTTTGCTATGACATATTCCAGGGGTGCAGATAGCGAAAGTGAGCGTAACCTCTGGATATCGGGGATGATAAATTCCCCACATTTTAGCTGCTGAATCACTCAGCTTTGTTTAACATACTAGAAAGATTTATATTAATAAATCATGAAGTATATTATTGGTACAGTAAATAGTTTTATTGGCTATACAACTATTTATCTCAGCATGTCTTTTATAGTAAATATCCTAAGGTAACAGATGATATGTTCCAAAACATGATCATATTTGTCATTTTGCAATTTCAGATCCCTACATATGACAACAAGGGTTATGGGAAGTTATGCGAAAAATGTCTACCTGCTTTTAGCTCACCTGTTCTGAAGGACCATAGTGAGCTTATGCCGTGGGGCAGCGTCCGTTGTCTGTCTACCATCGTCAACTTTTTATTTAAAACCTATCTCCTCCTAAGCGCCAAACAGGATTTTAAACAAATTTAGTCTGAAGCATCAGAAGGGAAGGGCAATCATTTCTTAAATAAATGAGGTTGGTTTGACCCCTGGGGCTAGGGAGGGCGGGGCACTGAAGGGGAACTTTGCAAAATTTGCTTTAAATCGCATCTCCTGCTCAACGACGGAGAGGATTTCAACCAAATTTAGTCTGAAGCATCAGAAGGGAAGGGCAATCATTTCTTAATTAAATGAGGTTGGTTAGACCCCTGGGGCCAGGGGGACGGGGCCCTGATGGGGAACTTAGCTAAATTTGCTTTAAAACGCATCTCCTCCTTAACGCCAGAGAGGATTTCAACCAAATTTAGTCTGAAGCATCACTAGGGAAGGGCAATCATTTCTTCATTAAATGAGGTTGGTTCGACCCCTGGGGCCATGGAGGCGGGGACTTGAAGGGGAACTTAGCTAAATTTGCTTTAAAATGCATCTCCTCCTAAACACCAGAAAGGATTTCAACCAAATTTAGTCTGAAGTATCACTAGGAGAAGGCAATCACTTTTTGAATATATGAGGTTGGTTCGACCCCTAAGGCCAGGGGGGGGCCCTGAAGGGGAACTTTAAATTTGCTTTAAAACGCATCTCCTCCTAAATGCCAGAGAAGATTTCAACCAGATTTGCTCTGAAACTTCATTGGGGTAGGGCAATCATTTCCAAAATAAACGAGACTAGTTCGTCACCTGGGGCTAGGAAGCCTGGGCCCTAAAGAGGAAAATTATCTAATATTTTGCTTTAAGTCGCTAATACCCCCTAATTGCCCGAGTGGATTTTACAAAATTTGGTCAAAAACATTATTGAGGAAGAACAAACATTTCTTAATTTGACCCCTGCGGTCCTAAGAAATGATACAGCTAGATTATTATATTTTATGGTGTAGTTTTCTTAAATTGGTAAAAAATGGTTTCTAGCTTTATAAAAGCTTATAGTTGAATGAAAATTAAAGTATTATCAGATTACACCCTGTAATATAACATGTTACTTATTTCAAAATCTGTTAACATGACAAATCAATGGAGGCCCCTGATAAGTTGAAAGTCAGATATTGTGGTCCCCGTTGGGTTAGAGCATAGATCTTGTCTGGTTTTGAGGAAATGTCATATAAAAATGTACTAATGCATTCAGTTGTAATGACTTAAATATAAAACCAGGTGAGCGATACAGGTCCAATGGACCTCTTGTTATATATCAGATCATGTTTCCTTTATCGGGTTATGTTTAAGTGATCTGAATATAATGAGCCTGAATAAAAAAAGCCATTTTTCACTTTCAACTGTAATAACCGTATGACGAAAAGAGTCTTTTTATATATTGTTACATCTAATATCTTTAAACTGTTCTTAAGAAAATGTATTTATTATGATTCAGTTGTGTTTACATTTGTTTTAGTGTATTTTATCTCCAAAGCTAAAATCCTTTGTTTAATTTATAATATCTGAAAACATAAACAAAAAAGGACTGTTAAATATGTTGTGATATATCAGAGCCATCATTACTATTAGTTTCCTGTACAATATGTGAACCCCTCTGTAAGACTAACCATTGTCCACTTTCAGAGCCTGATGTGGACACACTGCGAGCCCGGCTGAGTGGAGTGGTTGACCGCGACCAGTACCAGGCAGAATATGAGAAATTGCTCCCACAGGCTGAGGTCCTACTGATGCTCCTCAACCAAATCCGCCGCAAACTCCGGGCTATGAACAGTGGAGATCCTCGTGTTCCTACATACAAGTAGGTATAGCCTGGTAATGCCATGGAAAATGCCTAGCCATTAATGAATCTGTACAATGTCATAGACAACATGCTGGACCTAAGTTTACCCACATACAAATAGGTATCCTGGCAATGACTGGTGTAGCCATGGTCACAATGATCCTTATATCCCCACATATATGTTGGTAAACTGGCAATGACTGATGTAGGTTCACCAGTCCAAATTTAGGTAGCGGTCAACTAACAATTAATGACTAGTGTAGCCTTGGTCACCAGCCCACATAGTGGTTATTTGGTCTGATTTTAACAGTAACTTGTCAATTCTCTTGTATTCAGTCTGCATAAGTTTTAATATACAAATTTATTTGACTTAGGGGTGTTATCCACCAGCTGTGTCGAGTACTGGTACTGCTCCATAAGAAAGAACCAGTGACCAGTATTCCAGCTGATGCCCTCGGATTATTTGAGTGGGCTCATCAACTCCTCGAAGATTATCAGTTAGAAAATCAGGTTCGTGAATGTGTATCAATTAGCTTAAGCTTTCAATACTATTTCAGAATTTTACCTCAGCCAATTTACTGTATAGTAAACAAATTTAGTCCTTCAAAATAATTTCTTTTTTCAGTAAAACTTGTGTGATCTTGGTGTTAAGTTGCCCTTTAAACTTACTTTGGAGTCATTATGTTTAGAATGCTATGTTCACATATTGAAAGTGTTGTATAAAGTAATACAAATACATGTTTACGCTTATGCACATTTTTATAATTACCCCAAAAATACTACAGAAATATATGGATTGGATGTTAGAATAAAGTCATTTAAAAGGTATAGAAGTACACGTACATGAAAAATATTTACATGAGTTTATGAAATGGTAACCTGTCCGATTACTTCCTGTCCAGCTAACTTGAAATAAACCTACTGCTGTCTTACCTACCGATAAATATAATGACTGAAATAGAGATAAAGCGATAATTAGGAAAAAAATAATTCTGTGCTTGTCTGATAATGAATTCAACATTTATTTTAACAAAGTAATGTAATTTTCACAGGACCAGACAACGTGTACATCGGAGGAGGCCCCACCTAGTAAAATTTCCTATATTGAGGTACCAGAGGAAAAGCGCCAGAGTCTTTACCACCAGTATGCTATCCCCCACGTCCATCGTCAGAAGGCCACCAATGGTCACAGCAAACAGCCGTCCACCTTGTCCCGCCACTCAGACACTGGGTACTACAGCAGTACCCCAGTTCCTATAGAATACCACAGCAACACCCTCCCAGCCACCCGAAGCTCTTTTCACCCAGAGCCAAAGACCTCCAAAACCAACAAGAAAGAAACACGCAAAACTAAAAGTGCCACCAATATACATCACAATCTTCAGGGCAGTGACTTGTCTATGGGCTATTTTACAAATGGACGGTATTATGAGCCAGCCCCACAGCATGAAATATACGCCCCTGCCAGTTCTTATAGTGATCGTAGCAACCACCTCTTGTCAACATTCCTAGCACCAACAATTCCACGCACTCAGTCTTTCTCCTCCTCACTCGGGAATTCAGATGGATTGTATGTATATGATGTTTTAAACATAATTAGAAAATATTTTAAATTAATGATTAAAGTTACTAAAGGGAGATAACTCATCTGATTGATTGGTATTATGTTAATCCGGTAGATATATCATTCTACCTGGATTGTATTGTTAATTTGACTCATTATTTATAAGAAAATAAAAAATGTTTTATACAGAAATTTTAATAAATATATTCTTTCATCATTTTCCTCGTTCAGTACCTGAAATTGCTAAAATGATTAAAAGCAAGATCATATTTATTTAAAAATAAATGATGAATGTTCTGATGTATTTATTTTGATATTGTTCTATTTCTTTGATTATGAAAAGTCAGTTGCCAATTTAAAATTTTCAACTATTTTACGGGGGTGTACAATTCCACTGGATTGATGCCAGCAGCTAGCAAAGGTCAGATTGGGAGGAGTGAAAATATTCAATGTTTACTAAATAAGAATGTAAAGTTGGGCTGATAGAAATTTTCAAAATCAACCTGTGTGCTAGTACTCTATATATGAATTGAACACCCCTGTTTTAATTCTGTCCACGTTGTGGGATTCGTTTTAAGGAGAACCCACCACATTTGCAAATACAGTTATATTTTGTACTTGTTCCAATGTCATGTGATTTTTTGTACTTTTTACAGACGAGAATCTTCAGACAGAGAGGATAGGGATGTAGAAGGTGAAGGTGACTCCAGTGATAATGAGGCTTTGCCCTTTGACCCAAAGGATGCTACAGAGCCAATGGAAGTCTGAACTCGCTGCTGTCTTTAATCGACACCAACATTTTGCATGGTGTCAATACTACATATCAATGAGGCGTCACATTCCTGTGTCGATGCAACGTTTCTACCTTTGTATTGTCTGTAGTTGCTATTTCACACTTGTGGCGTTGACTTTGTGGTTTTCAGTTTATAGTGTTTGTTGTGATATTTAACAAAAGAAATATGCTATCATGCTGAATTTGTAGATTTACCATCAAATGTGAAAATGGCAGATATAACACTGCCTTGCAAACTCTGTTTACAGTATTCATGGTCTCATATCTCCTATTTTTTTTCATTTTATTTTGGTTGTTTTAGGAAAAGTCTAAAATGTCATGTGCTTCTCTTATTAGAATTGTTTGGTATACATGTATTGCAATATGGAGTAATTCACATTTTTATTTTCAACTATTTCTTTGTTTTGTTTCAACATTAATTTACACTTACTTGTAGTTTTGAGCTAAAACCATAAGAAATAAATCAAAACAATAAGTCATTTTTTAGTTCAGATTATTTTGTCAAACTATTTGGTGCTTTTTTTTATATTATTTGCAAATTGTTGTATTATTTCACTTCACCATAATAAGAATCTTTTACTCTACTTGATGTCCAGTTTGATGAGCTTGAGTGGTACAAAAAGGACAGCTTTTTACACATAGCTTCGCTTATTTCTACTGAAATCCCAGGGGCCCACCTTTGTTGACAATCACAGGTTTATATTAGTCTGATTTTTTTTCAGCTTTTACAGGAGATATTCTTTCCGAGACAGACATACTATTTATATGTACAGCAAATATATCTGTTTGTATGTCTGACCATTTCCTTCTTCCTTGTTTAGGAATGTTGCATTGTGAATGATTTTTTTTTAAATTTATCATTAGTACAAACCATTAATTAAATGAACCATCTTGACTTATTTGTGTTCTTTTAGAATGTTGATGAATTTAAGATTTTTTGGCAATATACAGGACTGGGATGATATACCAACTATACAACACAACACATGTATAAATACAATACCTTTTTTTATGATACGATACATAGCATGTTGGATCTCATTCCCTGGGAATCATTTTCAAGGTTTCCTCTCTTCTGTTTTGATAACCATCCTTCGTGACCTATATGTGTTGTGACATTGTTTAACCTCAAAATAATTCTAATATTTCTTACAAATCAATTTCTGAATTTTGATATAACCATATAAATGTCTTTCTCAGTGTCCTTCCATTTATGATTGAAGTCTGTGATAGATATGTTATATGAAGCTCTTTATTGGAACATTTGAACAGAATTTTGTAGTGGATGTCAGAAATGTAATTTTGGGTTATGTTTATATGAGATTGGATGTGTCTTGACATTGATATATACTGTACTCTGTACATTGTCAATTCCTTCTATTTTAATGTCCGAAATTTTGATAATGACTTTGTGTTTCTAGGTTTACATTCTGTACCAATTATAACACACTTCCAAATTTTATTTTACAAAAAAAGTAATTACTTGGGTCACATAATACTGGACAAAGTTTTACGGAACTGGATTTAGATGTAAAAAATCATATTTAAACAGTGCTAACGTACATATACATATTAATCAAAATGTGGCAACACTAGTCACTGAGGGGCCAAGTTAGTAGGATGGTTTCAGATATTTTAACAATATTATATTGACACTTGCTTGTTAAATATGCATGGGTTTTGTCTCATTCTTAATTTATTGATTTTTTTTAATGTAAAAATGTGAAATATGATTTAGAAAATGTTTTCTTTTAATCCAGTTGTATCTAAATTACAAGCACTAAACATTAATATAGTTTTTAAATATAACTCAATGTATTATCATATTAATTTTTAATGATACATATTAAATTGATTTTTTAAGAATATAAAATGAAGAAACTTTTTAACTATATTTCATAAAATGTATAACTTTTCTGGAAATTGTACTGCTTTTTATTACTACACCACTAGGATTTGTTTGCACTGTAGATTTCCTAGAAATTTACTGTAGTTTTTACTTAAATCAATATTCAAATAATATCAATACAATAAAATTAAATAGCAAATTTACAATGTAGGTTATTTTCAGAAAGTTCAAACTACAGCAAGATTAAGGAGGTTTAAGAATATTGATGTTTTATGAACATGAATAATGCAAATCTATTGTATTAATGTTTTTTCCTATCTATACATCAGAATTCTGTTAGAAATCCAGTAATATTAAATAAATAATGTAGTGTTTGTTTTTACGATAACCTTCCTCTTTGATGTTCAACCTTATCCAATTCGACTTTTTATTTTTTTATTTTAACAGATTTTTAACAATGTTTCATACAAGAATAAGTATACTAATTGGTCTCAGTATGGGAATTGTGCAGACATAATTGTATGCGAAATATAAGGCTTGGCTGGCCAAGTAGGGTGTAGACCTATTTAAACATTCTTTTTATTGCAATTGTTTTGTCTCAATTGATTTTTGAAGTTCCATTTTGAAGACTTTGATCATCTATAATTTTCTGTTACTCCTTAAGTTTTATCCAGTTTTCTTTATTTTTGAAATGAATTTACATGATTTTTACCAGTTTTCTCTCTCTTTATCTGATAATGCTGATAATGTTCATGCTTAAGATCTTTTGTGTTTGTAAAATATTCATAATAATGTGCATTCTGCCAATTGTACTAGGAAAATATATACTTCAGTTGTCAAGTATCAAATTCCACTTCTTGCCGATTAAAATACATCCATAAATATTTTACGCAGTTAGATATTATCAAAAGGACTGTTAATCTCTAAGTAAAGTTAATATTCTAGAATGTATATAAAATAAGTTTTAGAAAAGAATTAATTGTTTTAATAAAAATAGCTAATAAATATCCATACTGTCTTATCAATCATTATATCGTCTTTTTAATTTCTTCTGGATTTTTTTCCTGCTGCATATTATTGGGTGTAAAATATATTCATATGCTATGTTATTAATTGGTATTTAGTATTTAATGGACATTATTGTGCCTTATACTAAAATCTCATGTATTAAACGATTTTATCCTCTATATAAGGTATACATGTATTAATGTAATATATATTTCGTAATAGTTTAATATTAAAATGAAATATTTGTGAAGTAATAGTCAATACAGCAGCATATCACATAGGTGTATCAATAATCTCGGCACTGGTTTTTTAATCTTCCATGTATACAATTTTCATTCCATTACTGATTTATTTGCATTAACAAGGCTCGTTAACGGAGTCAATCAGGGTCGAGGGGCTTGAATTTTATTATATATCTATGAATTCCTGTAGAGATTATTTTCCTCAGCTTGCAGATTAATGCACTGTATCCATGAATGTTGTCTTACACATGTGTTCACATGTCATCAGGATAAGCTTATCATCATTGTTATAGAAAAACTTGAAGGTTGTGAATAATTTTATTCAAGAAAACAAATTAAACGCAATATTTTGTTGAGCAATCTGATATGCAAAACACCTTTTTTCTTGTATTTGGTGAGGGTATTCTACATATGATACCATGAATTGTTTAGAGTTACCTCCCTTAAAAATGTTGAAATAGGGTTGTTTGACTCATTTGAATGTTGTTTATACAATAACTGTTGTGAAGTTGATACCAATTAACAATGTCTAAATCACTTTGATTATAAAACAGTATTCAACAGTGTATCTAAGTGGGGAACTCTTTAGGGAAGGAGGTATGTTTTTTAAAGTAGCATATACAATGTAACCTTAAGGTATCTTATAAAATATATACAGGTACTGTTATAATGTCTTACGACATATCATGTAAGATATCGTAGAAAAAGGTTGATATCTTATATATTTTGTATACACTATGAAGAAAATTACATGAGCTATCTGCATGATACTTTATACAATGAAATTGATATACAATTATGTTTAACCAAGATTGCCATTGCTTCTCAATAGGTGTTAAGTTGGCTCGCCACTTTAAATGTTTGTAGTGACGTTGAGGAAGATCAATTCATTTAATTGCTATTTGAGTTTGGGATGAAACAATTGCATTATTGATCTTTGTTCTAGGTAGTTGTATTGTGAAATAAATTCAGCAAGCATGCGTGATGTTAGAGGAATGTCAAATCTTTGTTTAAAGATATGGGACTTAACTTTCTAAAAAGTGAAGGAGTAATTGACTATCTTTAGATGAATGAACTTATTGTTATGTCTCAAGATTATTTCTAGGGTGTGTCTCAAGACCATTATATTAGTTTGTTTCTTGGCTGAATAGGAAATAGATCTCTTAATTTTTATGTTGCTAGAATGTATTTACAAAAATTACAAGAATTGTACATGTATATATTATTCCGACATTGTCTTTAGAATATATAACATTTATACGAAACAGATTTCTTTTTCCCTTCATCTAGAATTTTGAAGCTGCTCTAAAGAATTATTAAATATTCGATTATCACTAAATTAATTTGTAGAATTGAGCAAAAACATCTGTAAATAAATAATTATTTGATTTATTTTTGTTAAGAGAGGAAGAAGCTAACTGAAAATTGTAAATTTTAAAGTAAGAAATTAATTTCATTATTTTGCTTTCCTTACCAAGTTATATGCTATCTGTTAATTCTCTCAATCTTGTTTCCGTCCTTCATACATATGACAGGGTTGTGTGTGATATATACATGGTTTTGTATATACAATTGTTAAATCAATTGATTGAGTGGTGCTATTGGATAAAGAGGGTAGTGAGCTGTGTTTGGTATATTTCAGAATATAAGATTTCTTATGTTTTTGTTTGTTCGGTAATCAATATTTTGAAATGTTTGTGTCAAGAAATTAGGATGGAGCATATAAAGGCAACATTCATTACAGTTGAATTACCTGGTATCTGAAATTACAAGAAATCATATTGAAAATGAATGGCATCTCGTCAAGTCACATACAGATTCAATTTATAACTTTTGTAAAAAGGGGCATTCTTGGGTAGATTTTTAGGGGGCTGCCTGCTGGCATATTTTTTGTCATTAAACATTGCGAAAGAACACTAGCTGTATATATGACCAGATTTGTGTGTTACATCTGTGACACCTGTCACATATTTGTGTCAGGTGGAGACCAGACAGGTACACTTTGTAAATATAATATACCTAATATGTTATTACATGTATTGATAAATCGGCAGTGCTGCTGTTTTATGTTATATGGTAAAATTAATTTACAAAAAAGATCAGATGGCAAGTCGGAGATCAATTTTTCGACAAAATAATGATTTTGGATGTATTTACTGCTGTGCATTCTATATCCTGCATCCAATCCTCAGTTTATTCTTGTAAGCAGACAGTATTACATGGATACAGAAATCCTCGTTGGTAATAGACCATATTGGTTTCTCCAGAACTAGGTTATTAACAATTACATTAAAAGTATGTCAGCTAATATCCTCTGTCCTAGGTGAAATTTGTATTTATGCTTATTTACAAGAGCGCTTATTTACGCTTTATGTCAATAAGCATAATTACGATTTTTACGTGGGATTTAGGATAATGAGCTTATTGTATTGACTTACCTACATATTGTAATAATAAGTAAGTTTAAATATTTAATGTTAAAAGCAACAGGGTACTACATTAATGTTAAAAGCAACAGGGTACTATATTCTGTGATGAATTATATATCCTTATTTAAATGCATATTATTTTTCTGTGAATCTCAAGTTTGATTGTATCTGAAATGAATGTTTAAGAAAAGAGAAATTTATTTTCTATGTATAAATTTAACTTAACTGTAGGAAATAAAAAAAGATGTGCACATTTCAAAGGAATTAGAGTGTCCACATTGTATTAAACTATAGAAATACAATGTAAGCAATGTAAAGGGTATCAAACTGTAACCATACCAAACCATATCAAAGATTTATCGTAGGGTAAGTTTAGTTTGATTCATTCCATGTTTGGAACGGAATATATTTCACTTTTTAATATATTTTGCTGATGTGTTATCAAAAGGAAAGCAATGTGTACTATTATACTTACTGCTCATATACACAAGATTTCATAATTCCTTTAACAAACCATGTAAACAAATCATGAAGGTGTTACTCATTCAAAATTACAATAGCTTTGACACAGAAGCAGGATTTAGGATTTCGATTTCAATATTCAGCATGTGCTAATTTATTCATAAACTGTAAATTTCCCGTTTTTTTTTTTTATGTCAAATGAAACCTTATCATGACAAGCAACATATATCTGGAGGATAAGGATTGAATATAGTTAGTTACTTATCCAGTTAGATTTCAGACTTATTGAGTAGATTTTATATTAGATATATATTTAAGTCACAAACATTGGTCAGACTTAACTAATATAACATACTTACTGATGTATTGGTGCAGACAACAATTGTTTTTTTCTCTACAAGGAAATGTAACATGATGAGGCTTAGATGCCTACATGATGAGTAAGTATATATTTCCAAACTCAATAATTTCAGACTTAATAAGTAGATTTTATACTAGATATATATTTAAGTCACAAAAATTGGACAGACTGTTAATATAACATACTTACTGATGTATTGGTGCAGACAACAATTGTTTTACTCTATACAAGAAAATGTTTGCTGTAGTTTCACCCTCAGTAATAAAGGCATTGATCATTTACAGCGAACATCAGTAAACAATAAACCTTATTACTGGTATGTAGCCGTTCAATGTGAAAGGGCGAAATTATCACTTGAGTAAATACAGATTTTACGGACCGAAGGTAAACATTTGACAGGGCGAACATTTCCCAGTATATATACCCATCATCATTTGTGCTATTATTCACAATGTAAATTAAATAAAAGCTAATTTCAAGGAGTGAGTTTAAAAACTGAAATGCTTTTAATGGGAGAACGATTACTTGTAAATACCATGTAGATTTTCTGTAGAGGAGTCTATATGAAATGTCTGTACAGTCGATTTTAGTTTGACTGAGAAAGTGAAAAGCTTGTACATGTGTGTCACAATATAACCTTATTAAGTGCTTAGATGCCTACATGATAAGTAATTGTATATTTTCAAACTCAATAATAAACTTATTTTACAAAGTCCGACAATGTCTTGCTGTTATTGATGAAGGTTATAAACACCATTTGTTTTCATCTGGATGTCACCAGCAACAGAGAGATTGAACATTTGACAAAAAAACAAAACAATATGACAGCTTGGTACCAAGTATACCTTTATTATATGTTACATGTTGTGGTAATCCATGTAAATATATGACAGATATAAAAGTGTGGATGATATTTTTGATAACATCTTNTAAATTTATAAATGGAAGTTCTTTTATCATGGAATTAAATTAGTTTTGAAATAGTAAGTATACAAATCATATGTACAGGAAATGTATGTATGTATCTTAAGTATGAAAAGCAAAAGTAAATCATCATGATTTATCATTGTCTAGTTTTAAACAAAGAAGAACACATTTCTGCAGTAAAACAGCCATACCCATGAATTTGCTTATTGCAAAAACTTGCTATTTTGTTGTAATTGAGTCCTATGTCTTATGAACATTTAAAATATCATATGAAGCGAAGTTTCTATGTCTGGCAGTCCCACTTTTAAACATGTTCACCAATACAGGAACAACATACTTGATGGACACATTCAGCAACATATGATAGTAATTTACTTTAACTGGTTTGAAAATAACAGAATTCAATCTTGTCCAAAGAGTCTTGAGGAATGCCAAGGGCAATAACTCTGTGAATATTAATATTTAGCACATACCTGTTGAATCTTGTTATAGTAATACAAGCAATTTTCAGACCATGAAATACAATGTTCTGTATTGCACATGTGCAATACGGAATGTTGTATTTACCTACTAGCCGGAACTACATTTTATGGGAATCCCCTTGTCATGGCGAACTGAAAAGTTCCCGGTATTTGCAAAAAATATCAAAGTTTATAAAATCTTTGTATCGATCTCTACCAAATACGGAAGGTATGTGATAAAAGCAAGACCACACACTTGTGTTTTTCTAACGAATCAGAAAGCACTCATTTATTGCGCGGACATATTTATTGGTCCACGCAATAAACTCGTGCTTTCTGATTCGTTAGAAAAACACAANCAAGAGTCTTGAGGAATGCCAAGGGCAATAACTGTGAATATTAATATTTATACCTCTACCATGTTCTGCAGTGAATACACTCATTTAATTTTTTCTGTGTATTACCTCACATGATGACACCAACTGTGACATCAACATCAACATTAACACGACCGACATCCTGGCATTGTGATGTTGCATACACTCTAAATAATGTGATAAAATGGACATTAAATTCGTTTTCATTTCATAAGATTGATTGTCCTAATTTCTGTTTGGTATTTGCTCAGCAGAGTGCCTGCATGATGCAAAAACGTTTAGACTCCTTTAATAAATGTCATGATGAAATGAAAACCTGATTTATTTGATGTTAATTGTCAGAGTGATTCTTTCATATTTATTATAATTAACGTCAGAGTGATTGTCCATGTGATGAATACATATCTGTACATGCATATAACTAATGATGCTACTTCATTCTAATTGGTTAATCAGTTTCCATGCAATCACTGCCCTTAATTAACATGGTTTGATTTCAACCATATATGGTATGCTGGACCACAGCTACAACATTGTCTCAAAATGCTTGTTCTAAATGGTGATGAAATAATTATATCAGACAGCTTTCTCAGTTATTCTATGACTTATTAAAAAGGAAGTTTCTGAAAAAATTTTGATTACTGAAATTTATCAGTCATATAACTGTCATGAAATTAAGAGAATCATTTATCTGCAGAGCCTTACAAAGACACCTTTTAACAAATATATTATAACGTATTGAATCAATATATATAAGGTTAACAGTGATAATAAGATGTTGAAATTTATTATAATTGGTTGAAAAAAGAGAGACAAACCCCAGTATTATCCTGTTTTCCATAATAATAAAAATACATTTCCAGATAAAAGGTGTGAGCAATGTAGACAATTAGCAATGCACTCAAATACAACTGTATTTCTACTTTATATACCCTCTTACAAGTACAATTGGATTTAAATGGGAGTAACCCATCATCAAAATTAAACAAGAACCAGAGCATATACCAAATTAAGTAAGGCAATTTAAAGCTAATATTAGAATTTCACTCAGTCTAGATTCTGGATACTTTAATTTACTAGAACCACCGGGTCACGAGACAATAATAAACAACACATAGATCTCTCCATAATATGACACACACAATTTTTTTAACCAGATTCATGTTACGGGGGTATATTAAATTGTTAGAAACTTTATATATTATTCTTCCTGACAATATCTCCCTCACTGCATGTAATCATTAAATAAATGAATCCAGTAACAACTAAAAACATATTTTTAATATGGACAGTGTTTGTTTCAGCGCACATTAGATTGGTTAATTTTGTTTTGTAAATACTTACAGAAAACATGGAAACCGGTTTGTAAAATATGGAAATGTGTTAATTAACACATAAAATAATATATAAATCAATATAACAGTAAATCACAGACTAGGTATAAACTTTGATTCATGAAAAAAATGTAAAACATATATATATATATTTTTAAAATTAATCAATTGAAAATAAAATATTAATTTATATATTAAAACTTCATTTGAAATACCATAAACATATTTATTAGCACACTCAATATTTTAGCACTCAAAGGTTCCTCAGATCTTAATTTGGGCTATCATAAAATGACACCCCGACTCTTACATTGATTAAACGCACTCCAGAAACCTTACACACTGTGTCTGTATACATAGATACTGTTATACATAACATATGGTAGTGCACTCTTCCATTTATCAGAAAACATACCCAGTTGTATGTATTCTGATGATGACCCACCAGGTGGGCCAAAACATGTTAACTGGATTAAAGCTGATGGGACTCCCCATTGGATGTAGTACTCAGGTCATCTCTTCTTTTGAAATTTGATTATTCTTAAGGCCGGACTAGTGAATTCCATTTAGAAATCCATCAACTGGGGTTTCCAACACTTTACTGAACATTCACTATCGGACGTTGGATCTCATTTTCCCTTGAAATATGTATACATATTGTTCATATTGTACATAAGGTTAGTGCGCCAGAGATAGCATGATTGAGAGATGCTAAAATATCAAAGCTGCTCAAATAAGTATGTTTACCGTACTACACAACTGAAAACATAGGAATATGAAAATATGATCGATAATTCAAAAAATGACAGGTAACCGATGTAGATGTATGATTTTATCACCTGGTTTATCATTTACAGGTAACCGATGTAGATGTATGGTTTATCACATGGTTTATCATTTACAGGTAGCCCAGTGTTATCTGTAACAAACACATATACCCATCCAATTAGACCTATCTTTGGCAGAAATAATTAAGGCACTTATAATTGATAATATATTGTGGTCTAAATAATTGTAGCAATTTATATAGATATTTACTATTTAAATTTGACTGTCAGAAAATAAGATATATCTGCAATCAGTGTTAATTTGTTCAAGTCATGCCTGAAAAATCATTGGCACTATGAGCTAATTAAGTTCTCATCTACATGAAATGGTGTTGAAGAATTGGACAACTTATCAGTGGAAGGATAAGCCCTTAAGTTTACGGTTTATAACATAGTGTTTGACTGATCACTATGATAACTGACATATTCCAGACCTCAAGAAATAATGATTGCTAAATAATGGAGGTAATTACATTTCCCAGAAAATTGTACGCCACCCTCCAAATTGTATACATTATAGTACATTTATATTGTCACTAAATAATCTGAGGTTTATAACCCTGTTATAACCCTGGTTTCATCACCTTAATGATACAATGTCAGATATCAATCAATTGATGATTTCATGATTAGTAAAACTGAAAACAAAATAGGCATATAACTTTGGCTTGAAAACTATTAATGTCCTATACTGTAAATTGCTGTCAGGACAATTTCGACACCCCAAACAATTCACAGAGTCACGACATGAAAATTTCCATTCTTACAGTAAGATTCACAAATAATTCCACATGCACATTTAGGGCATTTCATCAAACATTAAACAAACCTTGATTGAAAATTAGACAGTTATTGGCAAACAAAGCTTGATAAAAATGGATTCTGGATATTTGAATGATGGAGAATTAATCTCATTATTGAGCTACTATGGATATTTTTAATCTTTCAGTCCTTATGAACATTTCTGCTAAAACAAGTATCCCTATATGCAAAGCTGAACTTTCACCATTAAAAATTCATTCAATCCCATCTTTTCTATTTCTCAACCATTCCAGATACAGAAAACAGACACAAGTACTACATTCTCGTATCTGTGGCAAGTGGGTTGTCATGGTAACCAGGGTCAATTTTTAATTTCCTGTCCATATTTGGATCAGTGTCAATTAGTTCTGGTTTTTCATTTTTGCTCTGTTCCGATGCACGGGTTTTGTAGGCCTTGGCAATGATAATGAAAATTAAAAAGTTCACAACCATCAACCCACCAATGAGAAAGAAGAGATATTCAGCCTTTCCTTCATTTATTTCATCCGGGAACCAAGGATCTAAAAGAAAAAAATACATCTGTGTATAATAATTACTACAGGTATATACTCCTGTAAGACTCAACACATATGAATATATTTATATGAATCCAACAATAAAACACTAATTATGACAAATTAAGTTCTATTTGTGACATGTCAGCAGACCATTTACCGTAACCTCTTGTAACTAACTGCTCCGTTATATTGCCTATAGATATTAAAATATCTTTTTACTGAACTCAAGTCTGCAGATTGCCTGGTCCAGTGAACTGTCGATCCACAGGTTATCTGCTACAATACACCTATTACAGTATATGCAATGATTAATTGCAGGTAAAAAAAATATGGCCATTTTCTTCTCTTCTTACGCTCCCAAAGTCAGGTACTTGTATTAATTATCTGGATACATAACAATGTTGATAAACAATGCTTTTGATTAGATCTACATGTGAGTTGTTTTATTTTATATAATATCAATGATATGCCACCATTCATTAATCTGATGTTAACTGCCAGGGTTACTCCTGGTATTGCACTAAGAACTTGAAATAATAGATACATACATGTAATACTCAAATACCATTAGTCCAAATTGCCCCCTACGAAGAGTTAGGCGTGAGCGCAACAAATGTACCAAAACTGGGCACCATGCTGTTATGGCGTGGTACTATTATTTGTATTTAAACCAGGCAGCGGTGGCCAAGTGGTAAAGGTGGCTGACATTCTGCTACCACTAGCCCTCCATTCTGCTACCACTAGCCCTCCACAACTGGATCACAGGTCGAGGGGCAGTCGCCAGGTACTGGCCGTAGATCAGTGTTTTTTCTCAGGGTACTCAGGCTTTCCTCCACCACCAAAACCTGGCACGTCCTTAAATGACCATAGCTGTTAATAGGACGTAAAACACATACAAACCAAAATGTATTTAAACCTACCACTTGTGGATGCAGCCTTGACGATCACCAGAATCAGCGAAGAGACGTAGTTACCAATGCCGGATGTCATTAGGAACAAACCCATCACCAAACCTTGCATGAAATCCGGAGCTTCAGAATATGCAAACTCGAGACCTGTGAAAAAAAGAGGTAATATATACATATTAATCATGGAAAAATTCAAGTATGATGATAAAATTCCATCCTGTCACATACGTTTTACGAGTTTTTAAAGACAAGAGGCACATTGGGCCTGTATCAATCACCCTTTTCGTTTGTTAACTGAACCAGACAGGAGGTTGATGTAAAGCAATCATCTCATCAACAGCACTTAAATAATATTTGTAAAGATGCTATTTGACAAGAAACCTTTCATTTCAAACGTAATCTAATATTCTAAACTCAATTAAATTGATTGATCTGTAGATAATATGACATCAATATCTGATAATTACCCATGTGTAATCACAAACCAAACATGTAGATCACAAACATTGTTTTATCTATGTAATCTTAATCATTTAACAAATTTAAATGTTGTGAAAAAATGCATTTCCCTTAAACTGCACAATAGTACATAGTCATGTCTACTCTTAAAGAATGATATCAACACTTGAAGCCTAAATCACTGTGTACATAGGTACATGTACATCATCAGTCCTGTGATTGTGGTGTTTGAAGCTTAAACAAAGATATATATTTATATCAGGTGTACTCTATCATAAATCATGTGACACTTGAACTGTGTTTGATAATTTGAAATGATATTTTTGAAATTGAAATCATTATTTACCAAAACCAATCTTGTTATGTTTACAGTAACCATTTTTGTAGGCCTAATTTATGACAACAGATTTTCATATGTAGGTAATAAAAAGTTAGGTTAACTGACATTTGGGAGAGTGACCAGTAAATATTGTCAACACAAGTTTTCAACAGAGAGAAACTTCTACAGTACAACTGAATGGCTATATTATTATATGACCCTGAATGTTGTGAGGATGTTAAAACCAGATAAACAAGGCAAAGTATAGCAAGGCAATCCATAGTCACCCACCAGTAATGATTTCTATATTTAACAAACATTACACAAATGTTAGGAAGCATAGGTCACTGAGGGAGGTCATAGTGACCTACTCCTTCCACTCAGCCATCCGAAGATGTCCTTGTACACCAAATCTGGTTACTCCAGGTGAAATAGTATAGAAGATATGCCCCTGACAAACTTTTTCAAAAGTAAAGGTCAAAGGTCAAGTCATGCATCACAGTGACCTAATTCTTGCACTCTGCAATCCACGATCCCAAGGTGAACTTGTACACCAAATCTTGTTACTCCAGGTGAAATAGTTTAGAAAATATGCCATGGACAAACTTTTTCAAACGTAAAGGTCAAAGGTCAAGTCATGCGTCATAGTGACCTAATTCTTGCACTCTGCATTCCGCCATCCCAAGATTTCATTGTACACCAAATCTGGTTACTCCAGGTAAAATAGAAAAGAAGATATGCTCTGGAAAAACATTTTTATAAAAGATAAAGGTCAAGTCATAGGTCACAGTGACTTAATTCTTGCACTCTGCCATCCCAAGATGAACTTGTATACCAAATCTGGTTACTGCAGGTGAAATAGTGTAGAAGATACATCCCAAACAAACTTTTTCAAAAGTAAAGGTCAAAGGTCAAATCAAAGATCACAGTGACCTAATTCTTGCACTGTGGGCTCCACCATCCCAAGGTGAACTTGTATACCAAATCTGGTTACTCCTAGTGAAATAGTATAGAAGATATGTCCCGGACGGAAGGATGGAGTGCAAACCTATAGTCATCCCCCCCCCCCCACCTCCCGGAACCAGTGGGGACTAAAAAAAACCAACAGTGGCCATTCCTTTATGTCTGGCCTTAATCTAGGTTCAAATCATTAGGCTGTAATGTTGTCTCATTGTGACTAGGTATGACAAAAGACCCGTGGGATGTGAATGTCCAGTTGAATAGCATACCACTGCAAAGGCTAATTTTCCTTTGATTTCTTTTCTTTCTTTTATGACGGTTCAAATCATAGCTAATAAAGGGACATAAAGTGGAGATCACCTCAAAGCAAGTGATTTTATCAGAATTGCATGACATAGATGATATTGTGGGGAAAATGGCAGCTTTATTTAGAGACACTGATTTTTGCAGAGAAATGTACTCAGTACATTAAACATGCAAGTTTAACTTACCAGATATACTGGCAAACACTTCACTGGCCCCAACAAGAGCAAATTCTGGAACTTGGAGGAACACAGACAATGTTGATGCGTTGAATTGGTCACCAGCCAATTCTTGCATTATTCCCCCTGATTCGGACAATTCTTGTTTACGGTATATTTCCAGTACTCCCGCCACCACCACAGACAAAGCAGCCAGGATCATTCCCAATCCTGGAAGTAAAAAAAAATAAAAAATGTCATACACATGAGTGTCAAGTTTCCTCAATATATCTTTAAAATCTTTTTTTACCTGCTTGATGAATTTGGTATGAAGTTTTAAATAAATTTGACCCTTGTTACCTTGAAAGTGTACATGTGTCAAGGTCATTCATTTTTATATACCAGCTATGTAGCCTTCCACCAGAGTAACTATGTGATAAATATTCAAATTTCGACACCTTATGAGTTGGAAGAGGTAATTTGTGCAACCAGTAAGCTTAAATGGCAGATAATCTTAAAAAATGTATCTGAGAAAAACACAAACCTATTCTTTGTAGATGGGATGGGCTACGTCCATATTTAGCCAGTAGTGGGTAGATAACACGGTCAATGATGGGGATGAGGATAAGAATTATGACAGTGTTGAAGATATTGAGGACAGCGGCTGGCATCTTTACATCCCCCACCATCACGTCCATCCTCTCACTCTGCAGGAAAAAGGTTGACTGCATCTGCAACACAAAAATGGAAAATGGAAATTCTTGCTTATGAGATTTTGTTTTGTATTTTCAATTTATCTGTAATCACAGTACAATGCACATGCAATTACAGTACATATACTTAACTGTGATTACAATACACATACTTATCTGTATTACAGTCCATACATTTACCTGCAAATTACAGTACATGTATTGACTACCTATAATTACAGTATGCGTACTAATTAGATGTAATTACAGTACAAGTACGCCTATTTACCTGCGAATTACAGAACATGTATTTATCTATAATTACAGTATGCATACTAATTAGATGTAATAACAGTACAAGTACGCCTATTTACCTGCGATTACAGTACATGTATTTATCTATAATTACAGTATGCATACTAATTAGATGTAATTACAGTACAAGTACGCCTATTTACCTGCGAATTACAGTACATGTGTTTACATACTGTAAATTACAGTATGCATACTTAAATGTAATTACAGTAGAAGTATATACCTGCAATCATAATACAAATATTTACCTGAAATTGCAGTTGTTGTATTTACCTGGCATGACGGTACATGCATTTACCTGTAAATACAGTACATGTGTTTACCTGTAATTACATTATATGTATTTACCTGTCATAACAGTACATGCATTTACATTATAATGACATTACATTTATTCACATGTGATTTACAGTACATGTAGTTACCTGTAATTACAGAACCTGAATTTATCTGTAATTAAAGTACAATTGTCATGTAATTACCTGTGAGTACACAGCCCAGTACATGATGATCATTAAAAACACAGGAAGAACTCGGAGTACAGAGATCACGCCGTCCACCATCTCGTTACTGTAAGGACCTCCGTTCTGTATTCTTGCTTTCTTGAACCCTTTACATTTTGTGGCACAGCAAACTCCAAAGGCTTTACTGAAGATGCTTCCTTTGAAACAACAAACATCTTATTGAAAGAAATACCAAACTTAACACAGCTTACTAACTGTATATCACCCATACAAAAGACAATACTGATACACGAAAAAACAGAAGATGTGAAGTCAAACAATATTGAAGTTATAAAAAAAAAAGTTTGGTACCTTATACAATTTAGAACATTCTTCAAATAAATAATTCCACAGAAGGACTTACTTTAGGATCTTTTCCTCACATAAACAAGCTTTTGTTGAATTTTTCAAATGAAATATGTATGTATCATCTAATATGTATATCTGATATTTGAAATATTCTGTTTTTTCTTTATTTTTTTTATAAACCAAGTATTTTACAGATGAAGTTAATTTTACTAATGCTTGCTTATGCTAGATACTGCAGGTATAGTGTATGTGCCACTCTGATGAAGTGTTAACATGGAAATTGTCTATAACCACATTGGGAGTAAGTAAAATTGAACTCATATATTCTATAATGTAAAAGCCTATCATCTTAAACATGATATGCACATAGCTTTCAACCCTGCCCATTTTAGAGTGAGACTCTCTCATTTTAACCAAAATTTGAAAACATTACTCAGAAAACCCTCCAGCAAATCAGAGCTGACACAAAATCAAAATCTACACCCTGGTGTCAAATGATCTCCAAGTTGCTACAGAGGATTCAAATATATATAACAGGTGTACATAGATAATATACCATGCACCTGTAATGGTAACACATGCGTGTATAAACGGAGTTGCTTCCCCTTTAATTACTAGATGATATCCTACATTTTTGATTTGATTTAATATCTATACTGTACCTCCAACAGCGGTGTTGACGTACAGGTTCCTGGCAGCAACAAAGATGATGAGAGCAACAATCATACTGGCCAGAGGGATGACAAACCCAATGGTGAAGCTGATGTTCTGTTGAATGTAGGCCACACCAGAATAAGCCACCAGAGACCCAGCGTTGATGAACCAGTAAAACCTGTCAAAACGGAACACAAAAGTGACTAGGTAGATGTTGTATGTAGTACAACAAGATGTTGTACACAGGTGGTCGGCTGGCAGAGTGCTCTCTTTCCACCGAGGCGGCCGGGGTTCGATTCCCCAATAGGATGTGAAATGGTATGAGATCACTTGACCGACCATGTAGGTTTTCGCTGGGTGCTTCATTTTCCTCCTACATTAAGACCACTCGCGGACTAATATCCGGGCCAACAACAGTGATTAACTTTGGTCATCAGGGACCCTTTATCCCAACTTTTAACAAACCAGCCACCATTAAGCTACCTTAACCAATAAACCATGGATCATACATCAACCTTCAACAATACTTAAAATCTGGATTGACCTTCAACAAACTTTGACCTCAGATTGGGCTTTAACAAACTTTTGACCCCAAATTGACCTTTACCACATGAGGGACACCACAATGATCTGACCTTTGAAAAACCACTGACCCAGTATTGACATCTGACAAACCAATCGGGTAAAATGTGGCCTTCAACAATTCAGTGATTCCATATTGGTCTTCGACAAACTGATCAAATTTCATGGAGACATTATTTCTCCATTATGTGTTTATTACTATCAATATAATATTTATTCATTTTACAACAAATATGAAGCAATTTATTTCAACTTTTATCAATCACTTTTGTTTGCCAAGATGTTAGCATGCAGGGAGTTGTAATGACTGGAGAAAACCCACATTGTCAGGCGGTTGACTCCATACCTCTTCATGTGTGACTGGGGAATCAAATCCTGGTAACCTTGGTGAAAGTGTTTTATTCACTGTGCCACCTGACCACCCTAATGTGTGTTTATCGTATTTAGGGGTATAATAACACCCCCATCCTCCCAACTGTGACCATGCACACACATAACAAATTTAGGGGAAGGGGGATGGACCGGTATAGTAAATCAGGTTGTATGTATGTCTGTATGTCTGTAGATGTAAAGGGGATGGACTGGTATAGTAAATCAGGTTGTCTGTAGGTCTGTATGTCTGTAGATGTAATCTAGTCCAGACAAATCAAACAGTTTCATCAGAATTTCATGAAACTTCATTGATATACAGTCCCCACATCTGAAATTGTAATTATTTTATGGGTGTTATGTCCCTATAAATGAATTGAATGTAAGCCAAGGGTTCTATTTTTCAAATATCATTCAAATCAGTGTTGTACTTTGGGAGGAGAATTACTTGTCTTTAAAACAAAGGGGCATAACTCCATAACAAGGGGAGGTCACACCAATTTAATTGACATCTCCTCAATGTATAATAATGTGTACCAATTAAAGTATGATCATTCAAACTGATGCAATACTTTAAGTAGTCAAACTATGTTTTTAAACTCAGGGGCATCCTCGATATCCAGGGGTTATGCTTACTTACGCTCTCTGCACCCCTGGAATATGTCATAGCAAAATTGAAGGCACAAAGATAGCTGTTTGATTGGTCTCAGGTTAAAAATAAACTGACCAATCGCTAGGCTGATACCTGTCCTTTGAAGATTACAAAGGGGCAACGACCGACTTCAAAGTCAATCATTTTTTACCGTTATGCGACCGCAAGATTCTTTTTATGTACATCAAAGGATCGAACTAGTCTTCTTGTCTTGTTAAATTTTGTTATGACATATTCAAGGGGTGCACTGCTAACATTCAAATTGGTGCAGTTTTAATGGAAGAGTGAGTGCACACAATATATGTCTACAAACAGACAGACAGACAATTATGCTACTCAATTCCAGTATACCCCTACCAACTTTGCTGCCAGGGTATAATGTAATTATACAGACATTTACTGACCAGTTGAAGAAAGATTGTACAGCCTCTGGACCTAGATCGGTTACTTGTTGTGCTCCGTACGGACCCACATTGGCCTTGATCCCTCCTGTTCCTATGGCGACAAAGGTCAGCCCCAAGAAGAAGTAAGCCTTTCTTGTTTCCTGTAAAATATCATTGTTTATTCACAACAGTTTACACCTCTTTAATATACTTAATACCTAGGATATTTTTTCTTAACCTTTGTGATATCTTTAAATCTCCATATTTTTGTTTCTACGGAAATCAATGTATCTAAGTCACTAAAATCTTCCCCCATATCTCCACTGTTATCTCATATAAAAGATTCATGTACAATGGAGTTAAAAGCTCCTGGTTTTAAGGTAAATTAAAGTGCATACAATCATAAGATCCATATTAGAATACAGACCTGGTATTAGCAGTATCATATATATAGCATTGATGTGTACATTAATTAAAACTCTTAATATGGTTAATGAATTACTTTAATTGCTTTGTTTAATACATATATACATTTACTATGTATACACTGTTTTCTTCATTAGAGGTTTATTGCAACATTTGGTGGAACATAGGAATTTGTAGATAGTGTGTTTACAAGAAATCAACAAAAAGAAATTCCCCACAAAAATAAACAATTTCACAGCACATATATAATCACATATGCAATGATTCTTTATCAGCAATATTTTCAAATTATCATTTTATCTCAATATAATCAGCTTCATCCCTCTATAGCTTATCATATATAACCTTATCTGATGTTTTTAAGTCGTCCGTTTATAATATCAATAGTTTAACCTCATAGTCTATAGATAAGGAGTGAAACTTGGTTTGGTTTGTTTGTGTAATTTTACATCCTTTACACATCTATGATCATTTAAGGACGTGCCAGGTTTTAGTGGTGGAGGAAATCCGGAGTAACTGGAGAAAAGCCACCGACCTAGGGCCAGTACCTGGCGACTGCCCCACGTAGACCTCAAACCCATGACCTAGTGGGGGAGGGCTATCGTGATTCAGATGGTCGAACACCTTAATCATTTTGCCACCGCGGCCTAATAGGAGTAATACAAAATATATTCCATGCAGAAATAGAAGGTATAATACACATGTTTTTTGTTTTGAACTACAAATATAAGACAAGGAATGTTATTTCCTAGCTACATGTAAATACAAAGAGTAACTTACAATACTGAGGTCGTATTTGACTCCTTCATCGTCTCTCCCAAACCAGTCAGAATAATCTATGGCAGCTGCTGGCAGTAGGAATAACCCTGTGGTTATAAAAATCACAATTATTTGTTTCGTGGTGATACATTATTAATATTAAGGTTTTTTTCTTGTTTATGTTGTCTTCATCGCATTCAGGCAAAAAGTAAAAAGTTAATCTACAATCATATGATATTTACAGATAATGACTAAATATGGATTTCAGTAGAGTTATGTCCCCTATACTGACAATTTTCAAAACTGAAATGCACCATGGGAGCTCAAAATGAATTTGTTTTCTCTTCAATGGTGCTAAAAATCAGTGGTTAATCTATTTCTATTTTATTCTTTCATGACCATTACATTCAGAATTAAATTGCTTGTTTTATGCCATGGGCATTACCGTTAAATCTTATTCAAATCAAACTGCCACTAAAAATTAAGAATCATTATCATGTGATTTAAATTTGTATTGCCATTAAATGTTATTTCCATTCCTAATTGGCCATCAAATAAATAAGATTAGGGCTATCAATTAAAAAGAACCAGAACAGAAATTAACAGCCATGTTGTTTTTCAAAGTAATGTAAAAACCAAATCACTGAAGATTTAAGAAAAAGTATTGCGGAAAAGTGATGGTGATTTGTCCAACCTTTTCAAACAAGAATCAATGAACATTTTTGATTGAAATGTTTAATTTCAAGGATAAAGTTGGCAGTAGTAATGCTATATTAACAGGTTATGTTAAAGTTTACCTAGCAGGTATATTAGGCCTGATCCCAGGATCGTGTTGTATTTGCCCGCGTAGGAGTCGGATATGTATCCTCCAATCACAGGGATAAGGTAAACTGTACCTGTGAAGAAATCAAACAAAACAGTCAAGCTTCAATCAGAAATAGAATTATTACACTATAATTACAGGTTATGGAGTGTACTTATCAATTGTTCTAGTGTCTGCCACTTAAAAACATTCAATTTGGGGACCTCACTATAAAATTTACATAAGGGTTCATTTTGATAATCATGTCAATTTGTTGTTGGATGAGCAAGTCTGCAATTCATTGTTTTTCATGATATTTTTAGAAAATAAAAATGCTATTAAAAGCCTTTAAAAAGCCACCTGTCTTAAATAGCTTTGTGCTCATTCCCTTTATTTAATCGAAAAANAAACGGATAGCAATAGGTCACTTGAGCTAAAGCTCAGGTGACCTAAAAAATCACAATTATTTTTTGTGTCATTGTGATACATTATTAATACTGGTATTAAGGTTTTTTTCTTGTTGATGTTGTCTTCATCGCATTCAGGCAAAAAGTAAAATGTTAATCTACAATCATATGATATTTACAGATAATGACTAAATTTACAGATAATGACTAAATTACAGATAATGACTAAATATGGATTTCAGGAGAGTTATGTCCCCTATACTGACAATTTTCAAAACTGAAATGCACCATGGGAGCTCAAAATGAATTTGTTTTCTCTTCAATGGTGCTAAAATCAGTGGTTAATTTATTTCTATTTTATTCTTTCATGACCATTACATTCAGAATTAAATTGCTGTCAGAATTTGTCATGGCCATGACTAAAAATGATTTGATTGTTTTATGGGCATTACCGTTAAATCTTATTCAAATCAAACTGCCACTAAAAATTAAGAATCGTTATCATGTGATTTAAATTTGTATTGCCATTAAATGTTATTTCCATTCCTAATTGGCCATCAAATAAATAAGATTAGGGCTATCAGTTAAAAAGAACCAGAACAGAAATTAACAGCCATGTTGTTTTTCAAAGTAATGTAAAAACCAAATCACTGAAGATTTAGGAAAATTCACAGTGATGGTGATTTGTCCAACCTTTTCAAACAAGAATCAATGAACATTTTTGATTGAAATGTTTAATTTCAAGGATAAAGTTGGCAGTTTAGTAATGCGATATTANATAGATATGGTTCGATAATAATGAAAAACAAAAAACGATCAGGCCTAGAAGCTACGGTCCCCGCAGCAAGCCCATACATTTTATAATCAGACCATAGATCATTATATTTATTATTTAATTTTTATTATCAGATAATAAAAAAAATAAAAATGGTCGGGCCTAGAAGCTACAGTTCCCTCAGCTACTTTAGGGCATGTCCCTGCCTCCAAAGGAACTAAGTTAAACATTGTTTATTCAGCAGTTAGCTAAGAAAATGGTTTCACTGGATACCATAATACAGTACCAACTCTGTCACAATTTCACAAACAATGGGCTGGTTCTCAGATTTTAATGCTGTGAGCCATGAGTGGAAAAAAGGAGTTGAATATCAACTTTTACCAAATTAATTAGGAGGAGTATATAAAATGTTTCATCAGAGTTGTTTAATGATAAAGTATCATGATAATGGTTCGTTTGTCCCCATATATATCTGTTAGATTAACAATACGATCTATCAGTAAGACATATACAGACACTATCATATCTCATTAAGACATACAGACAATACGATCTATCAATAAGACATATACAGACACTATCATATCTCATTAAGACATACAGACAATATCATCTATCAATAAGACATATACAGACACTATCATATCTCATTAAGACATACAGACAATATCATCTATCAATAAGACATATACAGACACTATCATATCTCATTAAGACATACAGACAATATCATCTATCATTAAGACATCCAGACAATATCATCTATCAGTAAGACATACAGACAATATCATCTATCAGTAAGACATACAGACAATATCATCTATCATTAAGACATATACAGACAATATCATCTATCAGTAAGATATACAGACAATATCATCTATCATTAAGACATACAGACAATATCATCTATCAGTAAGACATCCAGACAATATCATCTATCAGTAAGACATACAGACAATATCATCTATCAGTAAGACATACAGACAATATCATCTATCATTAAGACATATACAGACAATATCATCTATCAGTAAGATATACAGACAATATCATCTATCATTAAGACATACAGACAATATCATCTATCAGTAAGACATCCAGACAATATCATCTATCAGTAAGACATACAGACAATATCATCTATCAGTAAGACATACAGACAATATCATCTATCATTAAGACATATACAGACAATATCATCTATCAGTAAGACATACAGACAATATCATCTATCAGTAAGACATACAGACAATATCATCTATCAGTATGACATCATCTATCAGTATGACATCATCTATCAGTATGATATCATCTATCAGTATGACATGCAGACAAAATCATCTATCAGTATGATATCATCTATCAGTATGACATCATCTATCAGTATGACATCATCTATCAGTATGACATCATCTATCAGTATGACATCATCTATCAGTATGACATACAGACAATATCATCTATCAGTAAGACATACAGACAATATCATCTCTCAGTATGACATCATCGATCAGTAAGACATACAGACCATATCATCTACCGATAAGATACATACAGACAATATCATCTACCGTTAAGATATATACAGACAATATCATCTACCGATAAGATACATACAGACAATATCATCTCTCAGTAAGACATACAGACAATATCATCTACCGATAAGATATATACAGACAATATCATCTATCAGTAAGACATACAGACAATATCATCTACCGATAAGACATATACAGACAATATCATCTATCAGTAAGACATAAACAGACAATATCACTGTTCGGTAAGGTTTAGTACGGAATGACACGTGTCACTGTGTATGCACTGCGGATTAACAACGGTTTGCTACGATTTTAGTACGGGTTAGAATGATACCTCCCAGAGAGGACGATGGCTATATACCTACCAGAGAAAACATGGCTATATACCTACCAGAGAAGATGGTGGCTATATATACATGTACCTACCTGAGAAGACGGTGGCTATATATACATGTACCTACCTGAGAAGACGGTGGCTTTATACCTACCAGAGAAGACAGTGGCTATATACCTACCAGAGAAGACAGTGGATATATACCCTACCAGAGAAGACAGTGGATATATACCTACCAGAGAAGACAGTGGCTATATACCTACCAGAGAAGATGGTGGCTATATAACTACAAGAGAAGACGATGGCTATATACCAACCAGAGAAGATGGTGGCTATATATACATGTACCTACCTGAGAAGACGGTGGCTATATATACATGTACCTACCTGAGAAGACGGTGGCTTTATACCTACCAGAGAAGACAGTGGCTATATACCTACCAGAGAAGACAGTGGATATATACCCTACCAGAGAAGACAGTGGATATATACCTACCAGAGAAGACAGTGGATATATACCTACCAGAGAAGACAATGGATATATACCTACCAGAGNGGTGAAGACAGTGGCTATATACCTACCAGAGAATACAGTGGCTATATACCTACCAGAGAAGACGGTCACTTTACAGTGGCTATATACCTACAAGTGAAGACAGTGGCTATAAATCTACCAGAGAAGACGGTCACTGTGGCTATATACCTATTAGAGAAGACAGTGGCTATATACCTACCAGAGAAGACTGTCACTGTGGCTTTATACCTACCAGATAAGACAGTGGCTATATACCTACCAGAGAAGACAGTCACTGTGGCTATATACCTACTAGAGAAGACAGTAGCTATATACCTACCAGAGGAGACGGTCACTGTGGCTATATACCTACTAGAGAAGACAGTAGCTATATACCTACCAGAGAAGACAGTCACTGTGGCTATATACCTACCAGAGAAGACTGTCACTTTACAGTGGCTATATACCTACCAGAGAAGACAGTGGCTATATGCCTACCAGAGAAGACAGTCACTGTGGCTATATACCTACTAGAGAAGACAGTAGCTATATACCTACCAGAGGAGACGGTCACTGTGGCTATATACCTACTAGAGAAGACAGTAGCTATATACCTACCAGAGGAGACGGTCACTGTGGCTATATACCTACCAGAGAATACAGTGGCTATATACCTACCAGAGAAGACTGTCACTTTACAGTGGCTATATACCTACCAGAGAAGACAGTGGCTATATATCTACCAGAGGAGACGGTCACTGTGGCTATATACCTACCAGAGAAGACAGTTGATATATACCTACCAGAGAATACGGTCACATTACAGTGGCTATATACCTACAAGTGAAGACAGTGGCTATAAATCTACCAGAGAAGACGGTCACTGTGGCTATATACCTATTAGAGAAGACAGTGGCTATATACCTACCAGAGAAGACAGTCACTTTACAGTGGCAATATACCTACCAGATAAGACAGTGGCTATATACCTACCAGAGAAGACAGTTGATATATACCTACCAGAGAATACGGTCACATTACAGTGGCTATATACCTACAAGTGAAGACAGTGGCTATAAATCTACCAGAGAAGACGGTCACTGTGGCTATATACCTACTAGAGAAGACAGTGGCTATATACCTACCAGAGAAGACGGTCACTTTACAGTGGCAATATACCTACCAGATAAGACAGTGGCTATATACCTACCAGAGAAGACAGTTGATATATACCTACCAGAGAAGACGGTCACATTACAGTGGCTATATACCTACCAGAGAAGACAGTGGCTATATACCTACCAGAGAAGACAGCGACTATATACCTACCAGTGAAGATGATGGTGACTTGAGCGGCTGAAGTACTAGTTAACTGTAACTCACTGGTACAGAACAGTACCAAGTTTCCAATAACACTGTAATAGGCCAGTCTCTCACACGTTTCCATCCCCAGAATACAAAACACGTTAGCGGAAAATGCAAGTTGTGTGACTTCACTGTTGTCTGACACTAGGTGA